GACGACGGTGGAAGTCGTCGTCGTCGACGTCAACGACAACCGGCCGGCGTTCGAGCGCGCGACGTACGAGGCGTCGGTCGCGGAGAACGCCACCGCGGGAACGACGGTGACGCGCGTAGTCGCGACGGACGCCGACGAGGGAGAGAACGCGCGCGTGACGTACTCGATCCGGCGCGGCGGCGACGACGCGTTCGCCGTGGACGCGCGCACGGGCGCGGTGACGCTGCGGCGCGCGCTGCCCCCCGGCGGCCCGCGCGAGCACGTCATCGTCGTGAGCGCGGCGGACGGAGGCACCCCGTCCCTCGTCGCGACCGCCCACGTCGCAGTGACCGTCGTCGGGGTGCGCGCCCGCGCCCCGCGCGTCGACGTAGCGTTCGTGACGGAGGGAGGAGGCTACCGCGTGCGGGAGGACACGGCCGCGCGAAGCGTCGTCGCGCGAGTCTCCATCTCCGACCCCGACCGAGACGACGACGACGCCGCGAGGCTCGCGGACGTCGACGTGACGTTAGAGGGCGCTGACGGAGCGTTCGCGCTGCGGACGGAGGACCGCGCGACGTACTGGATGTACGTAGCGCGCGCGCTCGACCGAGAGACGACACCCGAATACAACCTGACGGTTGTCGCCCGCGCCGCGGCCCGCAAGGGGGCGCCGGCGGTGCGCGCGACGGCCGACATTGCCGTCGTCGTCGACGACGCGAACGACAACGCGCCGCGCTTCGAGAGCGCCCTCTACGAGGCGAGCGTCGAGGAGTCGGCGGACGTCGGCGCGTTCGTGGCGCGCGTAGGAGCGAGCGACGACGACGCCGGCGACAACGCCGCCGTCACGTACTCGCTCGCGCCGCCCGCAGGGGGCGCCGCCGTCGACTGGTTCGCGGTGGACGCGGCGACGGGACTCATCACAACGACGGCGAAGGTGGACTGCCTCATCGACGCGCGGCCGGAGGTGGTCGTCGTGGCGACGGACGGAGGCGAGCCGGCGTTGTCGTCGCGCGTCGTCGTGCGCGTCTCCGTCGTCGACGTCAACGATCACGAACCGCAGTTCAGCCTCAGCTTCTACAACGTGTCCGTGTCTGAGGGCGCCACCGTCGGCAAGTGCATCCTGCAGGTGAGAGATGGTGGTGGATGGTTATTCAGGGTTTCTTCTGAGGGAAAATTAGATAAAGGAGGTAATGGCCAGTTTGGGAAAAAACCCGCATGATGGATTCAAATGCACACATGCGGACGCACGGGGAGAGAGGGACGCATGACTCAATAAACCCACGTGGCAATCTAAATATGCCAGAAGCGCGTGGTGATCTATTTATTTTTGGGTTGTTAAAGTACTTAGCATTTTCATAACGGCGATGTTAAATTTGACAACGGCGGTGCGCCACTGTGCCTCTTATGCATAAGAAACCCTGGTTATTGCTGTTATCTAATTTATACTGTCTTATACGTTCTATTTTATTTTGTTATACCTCTTATTCTTATTACCATACATTACCATGGTTACCATGCGTTATTGCTATTATATTGTTTATAGTATTTATTTATTTGGTCTTATCCTTCTTATTCTCATCACCATCAGACTGGGAGTGGGAGCGGGGGGTGTGGCATTGTTACCTCCGTGAATTACACCCGTGTGTTATGTAGGCAATAGGGCTATAAAGCTAGATCTGTTGTCTGCAGTGCTGTATGTAGTTGTATCCCTCAAACTGAAATCGTAAGCCCAGAATTTCATATCTTGCACGACACTTCAGACATCACGACATTTTAAACTTGTGCTGTAGCCTGTCGTAACTAGGTGCGACTTGCCTGCATCGTCGTGCGTCTGCATTGTATTCGTATGTTGTTAAATGGGGCTATGCTCGAATTATTATTTTTACATTAACCTGGCCCGATATTTTGTGCGTTCGTCGGTGTGTTGCTGAAAACAGAAAAAAATGTTCTGCCGGTTGTTGCCACAGGGTTGTGAACACCGGTTTGTTGTTTGGGAAAAATTGGTGGAAGAGGGTCGAAAGTTTTATTAGGTCCAGGGGCACCCGCCTGCGAGACTGGTTGCGTGAAATCTGGTACAAACACATAAGAGAAATACGTAAAATATTTCCTAGTAAAATATTCCACGTAGTAAAATACGTCAGTGTATACTGCCTTTTTACAAAGCTTTGAGCACATGTAATGATGTCTGCTATAGTAATTAGTTATAGTATAATTGTTAAGTACTTAGTCGACAGCCCATTCCGTGCTCCATTGTTTTAAAGTTATGATTTTTATGGTCTTCCCGACTGTTCTCATATATGTTTCCGACCATTACAATACTAGTTTTGCTTGCAGTTTGCCTTGTGGTTGCCAATTTCAAGGGAATTGTCGCTATATGACAGAATGTGTGCATTATTTGCAATTTATGTACCATAGGTTCAGCACAAACTCATGATTATATTTATACTAGAGTAATCAGTAACATACATGTTCGCTATTAGGCGAGACAATATTTCGCTATATTTTTCTCGATCGTGCAGTTATTCAAGAAATCCTTTACTTCAAGAAGAATAACTTTACAGAAAACTACAAGCATAGTTTAAACTGTTTAATGTAGTGTTGATAGTAGAGTTAGTAGAGTTTAGTGATGTCTATTATAGTATTATATAGTAGTCTACAGTCCGTTGAATGCTCCATTGTTTCAACAGTTGAACGCTACTGATGGCGACTGCGGAGTTAATGCCATCGTTAACTACACGCTCGTCGAGGCGGCGGCGGCGGCGCGCGCCAACCCGCGACCGTTCACCATAGACGGCGCCACCGGTCAGCTCTGCCTGCAGCGCCCCCTGGATCACGAGCAACGCGACAGCTACGAGTTTTCGGTCATCGCCACGGACGCCGGTAAGCCGTTGGCACGGCCGCGATGCGGTTATGTTTGTCGTTTTTAAGCTTGCTGAGTTCGTAGCTTTACCTAATATGTTACCTTGCGTTAACTTTCTGTTGATATACAGGCATATCTGTGTTAACGGACGCCTGTCCATAAAGGACACTTTTGGCATTTCCGCCGAGTCGCACTTTTAACAAATAAGAGTAAAACCACCTGTTTATAAAGGACACTTGGTGTTTCCCTCGAGTAACAGTTATACTGTATAACCACCTGTATAGAACAGACACCTGTCTATAAAGGACACGTTTATCCTTCCCCTCGCTTACGGCCGTCGTTTGCATGTCGGTAACGCCGTCCGCCCGCTCTCTCTCTCCACCAGGTGGCCGCAGCGCGTCGGTGACGGTGCACGTGCACGTGGCGGACGAGAACGACAACGCGCCCGTGTTCTACCCGCGCGAATACGGCGTCAGCCTGAAGGCCGGAGCGCCGCCAGGGGGCGCCGTCGTGCGCGTGCACGCGAGCGACGGAGACGCGGGGGCGTACGGACGCGTCACGTACGCCGTCGCCGACGGCGACGACGCAGACGGCGCCGGGGTGTTTGTCGTCGACGGAAACTCAGGTAAGATGTGATGCCGCCGCGCGGGGAGGAGGGTGGAGGCGGAAGGGGAGAGGGTGGGGTGATGGGACTGGGAGGGTGGAAGAAGGGAGGATGGTGAGCGGTTTGGGGGCTGGGAAGGGAGGAGCAGGGTTGAATGTGGGATGCTCAGATGTTGTAGGAGGGCGGTAGAAGATATGATGTTATGAAGATATGGGGGGAGGAGGGTGGGAGTCTGTGATGTTGTAGGAGGGCGGTAGAAGATCTGATGTTGTGAAGATATGGGGGGAGGAGGGTGGGAGTCTGTGATGTTGTAGGAGGGCCGTAGAAGATCTGATGTTGTGAAGATATGGGGGGAGGAGGGTGGGAGTCTGTGATGTTGTAGGAGGGCGGTAGAAGATCTGATGTTGTGTGGGAGGAGGAGGGTGGTGCAGGACGTCATGCTGTGTAGTCTATACTGTGGTCGAATTACATATTTGTAAATATTGTCTGCCAACGTATACGAAAAAAGTACACACCAGGGTTCTCCAAGCTTTTAAATTATACCATGGGGGTGCTACTCACTGCTAGGGCGGTCTGGGGGCATGCCCCCCGGAAAATGTTTGAATTGTAGAAGCTCTGAGAGGCAATCTGGGACACTCTGTGTGTAAATTTGAAGCGCTGCATGTGGGGTGAAAATGTATGTTTTGCATGGGCAAAGCTATCGGATTCAACATAATTATTTCTTGATGAGCTAGAAAACACTCAGATTTGAAGTATGAAAATGAACATTATTGTGCAAGCTAGCCTAGCCTGCAAGCTAGCCTACACCAGTTGGTTGGGATTGATTGTCAGTTCAGATGCAAAATATTGAAAGCAAAAGGTTATACACCATAGATTAATTTTGGTACTATAACACGCGTATATAAGATAGCCGAGTCGGTTTAGAGTTAGTGTTAGGGTTAGGGATAGTAGACTGTTTGTATTTGTGTGTGGGACTGCGGTACCCGTAGCATCGAGACCGACGTGTATTAATTGTTTGAACTCCTTGTGTATACACCAGCATGGCGGGTGCATTTTAGGATGACGGGGCTCGACGATAGCCTGGCGGGGCGCCAGGCTATAAGTGCCCTTGGAGAACCCTGCACACGTGTTTATTGAAAGCTGCATCTTATTTTAATGCTTACGCTAGCCGAATTTTTTTACACGCCCCTGCAAGTTTACAACATGGTCTGATTTAGTTCATACTATTCATACAAAGACAAGATCGCTAAAAAAAATTCTGCTTGAAAGGAACGAACTTCTCAGCGATCCTTCCCCGGTTACAGACGCGCAATTCAGACCGGAATCATTTGTACAAATATATGCAGATGCTATTTACTTAGTATGGATTAGTGCTTAGTACTTATATAATGCCTTGTATATAGGCCAGCATTAGCGTGAATATCATGATATTTATAT